TATTCAAGGTCTAGCCATATTTAATGTTTTCTTTAATTTCATGTTAAAAAAACAACAAAACACAATGTTCAGTCAGGCATCTATGAAATTAAATTATACATTAGAGAACAGTAAATTGTTCAAGGAATATCTTACTAGCTATTTCTCCAAAATTATTTATGAATGACTAAAAAGTATACATATTTGGCAGTAACCTTTAATTCAATTTATACATAAATCTGGACTGATACACACTTTAATTAATAAAATATCATTTTAAATTTGACTCTTAAGGTCTGCCAATTTTTCCAAACAAATTAAAAACTAATAATGTGCCCGTCTGTATAAGCAGTGAACTTATGTACTGTATTGAACTTGCATGACATTTCATTGATAACATGATGTCGTACAGTTCATATTGGGAATTAACTTCGGATATAAATTACATTGTCAAGTATTGGAAATTTAAAAATTAGATTGAGTATTGTTTAATTATTATAATAAATGGCTTGTGGTATATAATTCTTTCACTGAATTAACTAAAGATAACATTGTATGAGAATCATCTAGAATTGTTTTTTTGTTTTTTTCCTCAGTTTTCTGTAATACTAGTGCTTTTATGTAATAGAAAGAGCACCGAAACACGAGGCTATCTGATTTGTACGAGGGGGCGTAGCCCCCGAGTATTAATCAGATTGCCGAGTGTTTTGGTGTTCTTTCTCTTTTGTATCATAGTCAAACATAAAAGCACGTTCCCTGTTGTCACAATATGAAACCCCGGCAAAAATGAACCAATGAACGAACATCTGAATATGACATTTCTGTCGCTTTCCCTTTCTCTGCCGTCACAATATGTAAACCCCAGCAAAAATGAGCCAATCAATGGGCATGCTATGTATTAGTTACCCGCACTCCAGTTAACGCACGGTGCATGTATATGTATACGATTTAACCCTGACACATTTTCAACAGAAAGGTCTCCAAACTATGATACAAGTGTTAATATGGAGTCTATATTGAAAATTATCAAATTGTTTCGAAACAGAAATTTCTAGAGGAGAGAATATTTATTGATTGAAAATGTTTGAATCATGTTATTACTGAATGATTAGGGGCATATTGATTGATTGAAATGCTGATTTTTTTTAAATGTTGAATAAGGGGCATACTTGGCCATGTGGTTATTAAATGCAGATCACTTGCCATTCACAACTATCTCTATAAATTCTCATAGGGACTAACTTTTCATGTGAAGAATCTATTAGTTTAGCTTTTGTGAGATGGGTGTTTGTATCAAGCATCAAGCATGGACACTTAATGATTCATGACTTATTAATAGATGTTATCATTTGTTTAATTGATAACACAAACTATTTTTACTAACTTAATTGCACGACAAATCATACCATTTCTCTAATAAGATATTGATGTAAAGTTTCTTTTAGAACATGATTTCTAATGTTGGAAATGCAACAAAAGTTGAAGAAGATTCAAAGTTAAAGTTACAAAAGATGTTTTTAGCAAAATTTAAATTTCTGTCAGTTTTGTAAGGGAAACAATCTTTCTAAACAAACGCATTATCTCCCTTACCCATTTATTATCACTCAGAGATGAACTGTAACCTTGTGAATGCATGTGCTTGTTTATGCCACCTATATTATCCTGGCAGGCCAATATGCACATTCACGCAGTCTTGGTGGAGCCAATAATATTGGCTCCCTGGATTTAAGTTTTTTTATTTCAAACTTCCTTTTTTAAACCCAGTCTATCCCAAAATTTCAAAACGGGAAATAAATTTTGGTTTAGGACAGGGGTTTAAGAAAGCTAAGGGGAAACCCAAATTTAAAACCCAAAAACAGCAAAAAAAATGCTTATGATTTAAATTATTTTACCTCACTTTCAGTTTTAAGTTGTTTTTACTAAATTTACTGTTTTAGAAAAAAAGAAAAAATACTGTAGTCTTGATTTTCCAAAATTTTTTTTAAGGGTCATTTTAATCTCTAAAATTTTACAACAAAAATCAAAAAAAAAATGGCCCCAAAATTTTTCCCCTTTAAAAGAATAAAATTTTTTTTTTAAAAGGGCCCCATAAGGGATTTGTTGGCAATTTTACATTTTTTATTTTTTTTTTTTCCATTTTTTAAAGGGATTTTTCCTTTGGGTTTAAATGGACATAAATCATACAGACAAGTTATTAATAAAGTTTAGGCCAGGGTTATTTTTCTCTGTGCTTAGTGTTGAAATATTTTATCAGCTGCATATGTATTAATAATGTATTTAATGCATAATCAACAAAATGCCTTAATAAAACATAATCAGTATAAACAGCATGTGAAACAAAGAACTACAAGATCAATAAATAAATAAGTGACCATAGATCTAATTGTGTGACGTATGACATGTATTCACTTCGAGATTGTTCAGACTTTTTATCTTGTACAATATTCCGACTTAAAGAATGAACAGTGGGATATTATGATTTGATTGGAAATTCATATTTATCTTAAGGTATACCTTATCATACAACCAGCATGTTTTTTTCTATAAATGCATAAAAATGATACTAAGATTTATTCATTTTGATTGTTTCATAATATTATATTGGTATCTACATGTATAGTAAATATCTAACCTTTATGAAACTAGTGACAAGTTGAGGTGTGCATTACATTGGCATATTTTGTTTCATAACATTTCCGGTTTTTTTGTTTGAAACAATAACATTGACTAATATTGTCTCAATTTCTTACCAAGGCAAAAGGGGAATTCAATAAATTTTGGAGGGGGAAAAGTTGGTTAATAGTGGCTGAAATTCTATATTAAATGTAGGGTTTATTTTCATTTTGGTTATGCTAATTAAGAAAAAATGCCATGCTCCTGTGAAACAAAGGTAAAGAAACTTTGGCCTTAAACAAATATTAGCATGATAAGTCCTGTGAAGAATGTCACCTTAATAAATTTTTGGTTTTCGGGTGTTAGTGAAGGAGGGGAATTTAAAGTGTTTAAACTTAATGAAATATTTTATTTGAAAGTAAAATGGGTTGTTTTTACTGATGCCAAACTTGGAATATGAAAGGAAAGATTGTGCTCACATGGTGATGTCATTTCATAGAAATCTTGGAAAAAATATTGTTGTTCAATTTAGATAATGGGATATACTGAACATGCAAAGGAAAGTTGTTTATAAATGGTGTATATGTTTATGCAACAGAAAAATTGATTGATAAAGGATAGAGAAAGTTTATGAATATTGTGCAATAGGATATTGATTGATTGATAAATGATAGAAGTTCATGAATACTGCAGAGACTTGTGAAAGAAAATCGAGATGTTTTGTATAATATCAACAAGCCTAGTTACATTAAATTGCATTTGCCAGATAAGAAATCTCTAAACCATTGATTAGTTTAAAAGCATTTCTGAATCATTATAGTTTTTGTGTGTGACACTCCTACATATATCACTGAAAGCTTGACTGAACTTTCTGTTTATCTGAAGGACATTTAAAAATACTGTGAATAATTTATGGAATATGGAATATTATATAGATTACTAGTGTTTATAAAGTGCATATTGTTAGTAACAGCTGATTCAACAGAAAGGGAAATTCAATAAACTTTGCTTGCATGAAAAGATTTAAACCTCAAAGTTGATTTGAAACATACTCTCAGGAAAGGCTGAAGTGTAATTTAGTCAACATTTTTTTTACTTTTGTTTATTTGTAAATTTCTTGATAAGAATAAACAAATGTAGACTTTAGCATGCTTGATAAAATCAATTGTTAAAATCACACTATCTTATGCAATCAATTATACAGTTGATTAACAAGCCAGAATAAGTTACTGTTTTTGATTGACATGGTTTTAGTGAGGTTAAATCTGGCAATATAATTAGGTGATTAGATTAATTGACAATACAGGATTTGATTAGGTCTAAATAAATAAATTAATTAATTGAAAATTTACTCTATATAGAAGGAAATACAAGCTGAGTACTGTTATTGTCGTCACTGTCGTTTTAGCATGAAAAAAAGATTTACAAGGTTTTTCTTCTCTCTTTATAAAAATAGAAATGTTTCAAATAACACTGACTTTGATCTCTGCATAGGAAAAGTGAATTGTTATGTAAAAATACCCATGTGGACAAACAATGGCTGTGACAGTAGGATTCTGAAATGTATGGAGACATTTTAATGTGGTGCATATAATAACTGAAAAATTTCTATAGTTATTTTCACTATCATTTTATTGGATGACTTAAAAAGGAAATGAATTATCGTGTTTTGATAATTATGTGGTAAAAAGTTGCTATAGTTCATATATGTCCAGAGGTGTTCAGAGTGGAGAATTGAAAATAAAACATCTATCACAAGACATTAATATTATAGACATGTGTCGCAAAATGATACACAAAATATCTGTCATTACAAAAATGCTTACGAACAATCTAGACATTAATGCAAAATATGCACGAATATTGCATATTGTGCGTATAAATAGAAATAATAGTTTCTTACAAGGGGGATAGGATTATTTGACAGAAATGAAGCAACAACACTTGTTTTTATTGGGCATCACTGCAGTAGGTGTCTGTGCTGTCTTGTTATACTACCATCACAGACGTATGAAATGTAAAGGTGAAGATGTCCGAAATTTAAAATAATTCATGTCTAAAAAATTAATGCACACTCAAAATTTAAATCAATAATGTTTAAACAGATATATAAATCTTATCCTTGGTATTAAGTACAAAACACTTTATATCTGAAATAACAAAATATGTTTTTTGTTTAAAGTACAAAATTATTTATGACAAAAGATGTGTATGCTTGTATAAATACATGCAATTGTAAATTCCATGATACATGTATATGTTTAAATTGAGACCAAATTGAGATATTTTGAAATATCTGTGTCACTGATATTTATTGTACATAAGTTATAACTCATAATTCTATATTTGTCTTTCTTTCAGATACAGCTGTTTGGAAATTAAATTTTGTTTTAACTATATATTTTCAGGAACACAAACAAAAAATTCCAATCGCCCAAGTTCTGGATCTCGTAGACGAAAACGTCCATCAAATAAATCTCGTAGACAAGACAAGCAAGCACTTTAAGGACCAGTCATCAGATGATTATGATAGTTCAGAAAATGATAGTTTATATTCTGAGGATTCAGTGGATGCTTTTAAACCAGTGAACCAATCAAAAACGGAGATGCTCATGCAATGAAAGTGATCTAACCTATGATTCTAATGATGGCCTAGATTTTGCAGGAAGAAGTGATAGAGCAAACATGCCTACAGGATCAAAACACAAACGTAAACGCCACCTTTCACCTGGCCCTTCACATCAACAGCCAGATTATACAGAAGATTATAGATGGTCCAGATGGGAGAAGGACCATTGGAATTCAGACCCATGTCCCTTGTCAGAGGAACAGGTCCTCTAGTAGCACTAGAAAACTGATACTCTGATTATGATGGTAGTTTTTACAAGTGAAGGAAGAGGTATGGTAATGTCTCCTCTAAGGTCTCTGGAATTCTAATGAGCGGTCAGATAGAGAATCTCATAGTGATTTGCCATTCAATATCATCAGCTGGTTATGTTAAAAATTCTAAATGATTGTGAAAGGGATATGACACCTTAGATTAAGCACAAATGCTAAGTTTGTCTTCAGAAAGCAAAGTAATTCTTACACAAGGACTTACTGAGGTATGGTCATCAAGTTCTTCAGAGTTACGACCCCTAGCAAATTTTTCGAGATGATCTTTCATATACATTTGAAACAGAAGCAATGCATTTCCTGGAACTTTACCATTTAGATTATGCAGATGATTCCAAAAGTCATCATTCCTCAGTATATATAAGATCACCTAGAGAAGGTGGACGGCTGATTCCAAGACCAGACTGTAGTACACCAACCAACTCTGGGAAGGGTTAGTAAATATTTCTTTCCCAGAATCTCAGCTGCAGCAAGCAAGCTAATCTTGACACTGAAAAACACCTGTAAAGTTTGAAGTGACTGTTCATGAAAATACTACCAATATTGAGTATAATGGTTGAAAAGACTGAGTATAAAACATATTACACTAAGAAATCAAAATGAGCCAAATATTATTCCAGATAGCGATACTTATAAATATGACTGAAAATGTAAATTCTCAAACTGAAGGAAAATCAAACCATTCAACATAGAGAATAAAAATTACAATGCATCAGCCAGATAATATTACAACCACAAGAAGATAGTTTTAGTTTTAGGTAAATCTTTACCGCACATCCACTTCTTCAGAGAAAGAAACTGAAATAGAGGATGGTGCAGTGAAAAGAGAGGAATCAAAAGAAATTAAAAAGAAAACAACTGAAAACTCATAATTATCGCTTTGCCTTCAAAAGTTGTGGCTAGTAAGAAAAAGATGAAACTTCAAAATTCAGAAAATAGAAAACACGAATTATCCAAGTACTTCTCTAGGGGA